GTATTGGAAGTAATTGAAGTTGATATGTTGTGGAGGAGTTTTGTTTAGGTCTGTTTGCAGCTGTTGATTGTGGATTGTGGGATGTTTAAATGGAGAAATTTGTATGTTTTGTGTGTCTAGTTGGTTTACGTGGATATTAGAATGAAATGAAGTGGTTTGGTTTGCATTGAAAGTGACTGAAGTTGATATGTTGTGGGGGAGTTTTGGTTAGGTCTGTTTGCAGCTGTGGATTGTGGATTGTGGGATGTGTAAATGGAGAAACTTGTATTTGTTTTGTGTCTGGTTGATTTACGTAGATATTAGAATGGAATGAGATGGTTTAGTTCGTATTGGAAGTTCACTTTGATGTGGTTTGAATCGATTGAACAGCGTGACGAAGGATTGTTCAGCGGGTGGAAATCTTGACGAGCGGAAAGTGAAAATCGATTCCCCGGTGGAGAAAGGCGGTGGGACGGCGCGAGTTTATTGAGATTCGTCCGCGGCCATTAAAATTTCAAGGATTAACGTTAGTCACCGCGGAAAGCTGGCTGGTAAGAAACCGTCGCGCCACCCTCGCCGCGGTTCAGGCGTCGTTTCATCATTCCCGCGTCAATTAGACGATCCCTAATCGCGAGTCGCTCCATAAACCGTGAATTATGCGTCGCCCGTTATTTCTTCGTGCTAATGTCAGCTTCGTTTCTCTTTCTTCTGTTTCGTAGGAAAAGAATACTTGACAGACTCAAGAACCGTATCATTTTTTACCATAGCTTGCTTCTCTTACGATTGTTTTATTTTATTTTGTTTATTATGTAGATATTTTTACGATTATTACGATGTTCTTTATGTATGGTGCTTTTGGACATCCGAACTGATGAATATTTCATCGCAAAACTTTCGTACGAAATTAAAGCTATTATCTCGAGTCACTTCCCAAGATCATTGAGATATCTCACCTCATCAAACCCATTCCCACCTCGTACACACACAAAATGGCACCTTTCCCTCAACCCACGTCCATCAACA